TAGGGAAATTAAATAAGCTTACTAAATGCAAGTGGTATCCTATTTTGTTCATTGAATGGAGGAAATAGTGCTAAAGTATATGAAAACAGGAAGAAAGGATTTAAAAGTAAAGATTAAGGAATATGGATCATTCTCAAGAATTTTCTGACTATATAGTTTGTAAAGTAAGTTTAAGACACTAGAATTTCTTAATTTAGATCTGAAAATGATGTGCACAGCTCTGATATTTTTAGTCATTTGAAAATAGCTTTTGTTTTTTAACCATATTTAAACAGTTATCTCCCTTACGAGAAACTAACAACAATACTTAGGAGAAAAGCTGTAAGAATACTTTCCTGTGTGCTCTAAAAATACGAAACACCCATATGCAAACTAACTTCTTAGTTATGATATTTTATTCTCTAAATCTTGTCTATATTAGGGTACTGTTGTTAGGGGCCAGATGATGTGCCTGTGCTCTGATGTAGTGCTTGGGTAAAACTAGGTTTTCTGACTCGATGATTTATGGCCTTACAGTTGGGTTAGGCTTGTTAAATTCTCAGGTGTTGGGTGTCTTTGAATATGTATGTGTATGTTCAGTTATAGCAAAACAACTGGAATTTTACAACAGTGTCTTTCAAGTTTCCAGTTAAACTGGTTGTAGACTTGTTTATCTACTATATGGAAATGAGACCATTAAAAAGGGCAACCAAGTATTTGCTTTTGTTCAAAGACACTAATTGTACTGATGCACTAACCCCATTTTTCTCAACTTCACAATAGTGGTTCTTAACCTTTTGGTGGGTCACAGAACCCTTAGAGCAGTGGTTCTCAACCTTCTGGCCCTTTAAATACAGTTCTTCATGTTGTGACCCAACCATAAGATTATTTTCGTTGCTACTTCATAACTGTAATGTTGCTACTGTTATGAATCATCATGTAAATATCTGATATGCAGGATGGTTTTAGGCGACCCCTGTGAAAGGGTCGTTCAACCTCCAAAGGGGTCACGACCCACAGGTTGAGAACCGCTGCCTTAGAGACTATGATGTATCTTTGGATCTGAATCTTCTCTTCAGAAACACACAAATATAAAACTCCACCTGAAACTTCAGGGAGCACATGAACCCTCGTTTGAAAGCCTGAGTAAAGGATGCTAAGTAGCAAACATATTTTATTAAATGCATTTAACAGAATTGCAGAAGTGAAAATGTGCACATGTGCCTTCATTATAAGTAATTTTATTTTTAGATGTTAAATATATTAACTTTTATTTCTACAGATATTTCCTGGCAAGTTTCTATACCAAGTATGACCCAACTCACTTCATGCTGAACACAGCTTCTCTCCTGAGTGTGCTGATTCCCAAAGTGCCACAGCTACATGGTGTTCGGATTTTTGGAATTAACAAGTATTGAAAAGCTTTGAAACTGAAGGAAAGCGTTTACAGCTGCTGAGTTGCCTGTAAGGAAGGAGTGGTCAGTAAACTGCTCCCATGATAGTGTGAAATGAGAGGTATTTGCGTTGGAGAGCCTAGTGCTGGTTCTTCATATGCTGTGTGAAGTGCAGGCTCTTACTGGAGGATGCCTGTGCTTAATGCAGCTGGTACCTTTCTCAAGAGAGGCTTCAGCGGGAGGCTGGGCAGGCCCAGCTTGTAAGTTAAATGGCTATAAAATGAGAGTGTAGTAGATACTAAGACCAGCTCAGTTTATAATGAATGGGCACTACGTTAGGAGAAGAAACTTTCCAGTCATTCCGCTATGGTCAGTTTAAGCCAACTTACATGTACACCAAAATCATCTCTTTACAAGTCTAATGTAAGATTGTTTTTATTTCCATATATATTCCTCTTGTGCTGTATAAGAGGATATAAGCCAATTCCTACCTTGTGAGTGTACTTATATTTTCTTCTCATTTTGCTGGCTCAACACTGTGTGTTGAGGGATGAGATCATTTTCACATTGATTAAGTTACTGAGTTCACGAAGGTCCACATTCAAGACTGACTGGCGATAGACGATAGTTAGGCATCTTACAAACAGCCTCTGAGTCAGCCTTCTAATTTTGAAACAACCAGTTAAAGATAATACCATCTTTCCTTCGTCCTCCTGCTCTCAGTCCTCATACTGTCCCCAATGTTTGGACTTTCAGTACTTGAGTCTTCACGTAGGTAACCCAATATGGTGACTGTTTCCAGAGCAGCAGCCATCCGGAATTCTTGTGACTAGAGAAGCTCCCTAAAGTTGCTGACATTAATTGCAAGAAGTAACTATCTACAACTTTGAGAAGTAAATATTTCCAAAAAACAGATCTGATATGGGATGAAACCGAAAACCCTAGGAACATTTGTAAACAAAATTGAATGAAAAGTTATAGACGAACTTAAAATCAGTTTGTTTCAGTAAACTGACTTTTGGGGATAATTGTTTTATATTTCAGAAGTATTGACTTTAGAAATCAGCTGTATGATAATGCCTCTGTATGTTTGTCTTTTCCTGTGTATTCTTTTTTCCATATATTTTTAAATACTTCAATAAAAATTTTCTTTGGTGTAGGATTATTGCAAAATCTCCCAATTCAGTCATCAGTGTTATATTGTTATTTTTCAAGGTGTATTTTCAGTAACTGAATTTGTAAAAAAACAAGTTTAAAATAGTACTTTGTTTTTCTTAATTTTTAAACTTTATCTCCGAAGGCTTACTATTTTTGCACATACTTCAGAGATAGAAATCTGGCTGTAATCCAGGCCTTCTGCTATTTTTCCCACTTTCACCATGTTTTAAAAATATCTATTCAATAGATATTTGCTGTAGGTATTATTTCAGGTATTGTGGAGACAGTTTGTAAACAAGACAAACCAAGTTCTTTCCCTTATGTGCTTATAGTCTAGCTGGAGAATAGATAATAAATGAATAAATAAATACATATCATTTAATGTAATAATAAATGCCATGGGGCAAAAAATTAAACAAGTAAATGGCAGTCACTAAAACCTCAAGTGTTCAACATGTAGTGCTGTTAAATGATGGTTTTCCTTTCATGGTCAAAGTCATAAAAACAGAAACAGTGGTGGGGTGGTTGCCAGAGGCCAGAGGAGGTGGGGAGAAAAGGGTCCCACAGTAATAGGGAATTAGTGTTTAATGGATACAGATTTAGGGAAGATGTAAAAGTTTTGGAGATGGATGGTTGTGAGGGTTGCACGACAGTATGAATGTACTTAATACTGTTGAACTGCTCACATAAAAATGGTTAAAATCATCTTAGGGTAAATTTATGAAATAAGCATAATGACTCAGCAAACAGAGAGCAAAATATCTTCCAAAGATGAGACCTGCTTGACAGTATTACCATGAATGAATGTTTCATATCAAAAGATATTTCTTAGCAAAGGAAAAGAGAGGCAAATGACTATTTTTAGCACAACCCAAGCTATGAAGACGCATTGAAAAGCACCAAACCCATTTCTGTTGCTTTCATTCCCTATTTACTAAACAGTCCTCCGATTACAGTTTGAATCTGGTTTTCATTGTGATTTGGTCAAGGTGACCAGCCAGGTCAACTATCCTAGCTCATTGTTGCAGTCCTCATAAATTAAAAAGTAGTATTATAGTTTTTACATAGTTTATTAGCAAATTGAACGTGTGATCTGTACCCCATAAACCATATTCATAAGCCAGTTTGAAGCTATATAAGAATCACATGTTGAAACCCAGCAATCACACCAAGGCCTGCTAGGTTATGGATACATCTGGAAGCTACACCACCTTAGTGCACTTTCTCAATGCACACTTTCCCTAATGCTGTATTGCAATTGCCTGTTATTAGACTCGGTTCTTCGAAGATAGGGAATGGATAGTTTATCTCTTAACAACTAGTAAGTTCTGGCCCAAAGGGAAGAACCCCCAAAATATGTGTTGAAAAAGATTCTTCTGTATATAATTTTCCTCTATACAAATGGAAAGTTAGACAATAGCAGAGACAAATGAGCATGTTTAGATCTATTTGGAACTCTCAATTCAAGCTGAAGTTTCAGTGGTTAGGCCATCTTTCGTTGAGAATGCCCGTAAGTGGCACTCAAACCATGACGTGATGGGATGAAAGCCTAGATGCCCCGCCCAGAGTACTACGCCGTTCCTCCAGTAACTTCTCCCCTAGTGCAATAGCGAGCATGGGAGGAGGACACCTTTACTTGCCCAATACAGCACGTGCATTGGGTATAAGTTTCTAACATGCACTCAATCAAAGGAGGAATAAAATCCCACCTCAGCCCCCCACCCCCCCACTGTGTCCTAGAGTTCTGCTGTTGCACATCATGCAACGTTCAGACTCCACCTCAGCCAAGAGTGCCTGGAGGAGGAATCCACCAATGACAGGAACACAACAAAGGATAATGCTGGGCCGCACGGGGGGCGGGGGCCACTGGGCACCTGCTGAGCCCACTAGTTCACATGGCAAGAGAAACCGCCATGTCAGGCAAGATTTCAGTGCATAACAGAAAGCCACCTCCGACCTGCCATGGCCAGTCGGGACGACTAATTCTTCTCTTTCTTTAGGTTTTAATTTTTCTCTTTTTGTCTCTCGGGTCAACAGTGCAGCCCAGAGAAAATAGGAGTTACTGGGTACTTAAGAAAACAGACCAGAGCCTGACTAACTCTGCACCTGGTTAGAAATGAAGACGGGAGCCACTCACGGAGCCCCTCACGGGTGGCTGGGAGGGTTCAGCAAGTTAGTCTGCATCGGGCCGGTGCATGGGAAGTGCCCATGGGAAGCGCCCCTTCATTGTTCATCATGACGACTCCACACAGGATTAAAAATGTTGGAAACGTTAAGTTTCACCGGAAAAGCTGTCCCTAACATTCTAATTACCGTATTTGCCGGCGTATAAGACGATTTTTTGGCCCTGAAAAATATGCCTCCAAGTGGGGGGTCGTCTTATACGCCAGGTACACTTCAGGTAGACTGCCCATAGTGCTTGCCCCATGCCATAGTGGCCTCCCGATGCCCGCCCACTTCATTCCACATACCGTTCAGGCATCAGCAGC